CCTTGGTGGAGTCGACACTGCCATATCATCTCCAATGTCTTCCTCGGCGGCTACGTCCGACTCTGTCACTACACAGGCCGGGTATACGATGACTTGACTGTCCTCTGCCTCATTTTCAAGGATGCTGGCTAGATCTATCTTGTCCGGCGTTCCACTTGTACCGCGGTCCTTCTGGTTCACCTCCGGCACAGCTTTTACTATCAGCTCTGGCAGCACCTTGGACCCACACAAGTCGTTCCCCAGGATCACTTGGACTCCTGGAACAGGTATGTTGGGGCACACTCCCAACATCACCTCCGCCGACAAATAATCTGACTTCAACTGGACAGCACACACGGGCATGTCACTCTGAGACAACAACCCATGAACCTTTATCCTCCTACTGCCAGCTAACAGTCGATCATTTCTTATTAGGCCTCTCAGAATCAAGCTCTGATTGGCTCCAGTATCCCTGAGGATACTAACCTCCACCTCGGGTTGACCTTCTATGCCGACCCAACCTTTACTAATGAACGGCCTATACCGCTCGTTCATCAAATCTACCTTCTGTGGTTTGTCTTGTTGTACATCAACGTACTTCTTCCGGGGATCACATGTCGTCAGGGCCACGACTCTCTTGCCCTGCCGACAATCTCGCATCATGTGACCTGATCTGTTGCACTTGTAGCATCTCATTTGGGAGAAATCTCTCCTATACGCCCCCGAGTGGCTCTGACTCTGCCCACTCGTAATGGAGTTCCTCGGGCCAGATGTACTACTCATACTCTGTGGAGCTTCATTGGACTCTTGTCTCCTCTGCACATTTTTATTTTCCTGCTTACCTCCAGCAGGCGGACTCGGCAACTTTCCTTCCTGGGGCTTAAAACTAGCTGGTCTGCTTGTCTGCCCCCCAAAACTTCTTCCTCCCCAGACTCCACTGGGTCTGCTATTGCTGCGTCTCGCCTCGCTTCTTACTCTGTTCTCTCTTAAGCTCTTGTACGCTTCAGTAATCATATCCGCCCTATCTGCGGCATCTTTCACCTCCTTTATCCCTGCTTCTTGGATCTTGAACTTTGTTTCGGGATGCATCATCTCCAAGAACTTCTCCATGACCATCAGTTGCTTCAGGTCAGCGTAAGATCCAACTCCAGCAGCCTCAATCCACTTCTGGAATCGTCTTTCCAGATCTCTTGCTGTCTCAGCAAACGTACACGCTCCAACTTTGATCATCTCTCTGAAGCGCTTCCTATAAGCTTCTGGGGTTAACTGAAACGAGCGCAATATGCTGCTCTTTACTGTGGCATAATCCTGGCACTCTTCCAGTGACAATTGGGTGTATGCCTCCCTGGCTGCACCGGTCAATCTTAACTGGACCAGCTGGGCCCATTCCTCCTGTGGCCACTCCTTGATACTGGCTACTTTCTCAAAATGCTCGAAGAAGCTCTCTGCCTCTTCGGGCACAAACAAGGGAATGTCCTTCTCCCTAACCCTAACATCTGTTGGGTGTGATACCTGGGTGGTGCTCTCTGGCAACCCATGTTCAATCCTTTGCTCAGCCAAGGTTCTGTTCGCTTCTATCTGCATTTGTTTTTTTCTCTCTTTTTCTTTTTCCACCTCTAGCCTTGCTTTCTCTTTTTCTTTCTCCTGTTCCAACTCCAGTTCTCTTACTCTGGTTTTCTCTTTTTCTTTCTCCACCTCTAGTCTTGCTTTCTCTTTTTCTATTTCCAGTCTGGTTTTTTCTTTTTCTACTTCCAGCCTGGTTTTTTCTTTTTCCTTCTCTGCTTCATTTTTCATCTGGAGTTCTAATTTCATCTTTTCCAGCTGGAACTGTCTCTCCTTGTCCTCTCGTTGTTGCTGCATCTGGAGCTCTAACTGGAATCTCTCCAAGCTCCTATTTCGGCTACTCCTGCTACTGCGGCTACTCTTGCTGCTCCTACTCGATCCCTGGGATCTCACTTCATCCTGCCCATCATCCTCCTTTCCACTTTCAGCTCCTTTTTGGGCTCCTTGCTCTGCCGCTTCATTTTTGGCTCTTAACTGCCTCAGGATCTCATCCTTCATCCCAGCTACTTTAGATGCTTTCAACCTAATGCCACATTTTTCTGCTATTTGTTTCAATTGATCCCTCGTGCAACCTTCCAAGTCCTCAGGCTTGCCTGACTCCACAAACGCTTGCACCTTATCCATCTTTGTCCTGTGAGTCTTCCCAAGAGAGAGAGTATACACCTGCGGTCACACAGTTTATCTCAGCAGGGGTGTACAAATCCACTCTTGGACAGGGTGTGGGTGTGTCAGTTCACTCTCCCGGACACAGGCCCCCAATTTATTATAGACTGTGGGTTGGTTGGTGTTGTCGTCGTTGATCCTTCTCTATGGACAACCCAACCCACAACTCGGCAGAGTGCTTATACTAGGAGATCACCCTTGGCGCTTCTGGCTCTTGGAGAGGGGCTCAACGTCACACGTTTAGGGGATGCGGCTCCAACACTTAGCCTCGTTGTCACGTGCACACACCCACTCGAGCCGCTGTGACTCCCCACTCTCTCCTTATGAGATATGATCTCCTCAATCCCCTATGACTTACTAGTATTACCTCCTACCCTGTCCACGGCAGTGGTTCTTGGTTCTTTCTCTCTCTCTCTCCTTCTTTACTACCTCCTGGGAAGCCTCACTAGGACAAGGGCAAACACCAGCAAATTGTGACACATTTACTGGACAAAGCACATACACGATACATACACACCTATAATAATAATGAATCCTATACTCTATAATATCACAATCAGGTTGCACTCCAACACCATCAGAGCTCTATTATCAGCTTATCAAGTGGTATCCTATCTCCTGGTCCACCACCTGATACTGTTAACCTCCTCAAGTTGATCAAGCCTACATACACTGTTGCACTATCAGCAAGATAATGTATATATAGAAAACCAGCATTTGAATGCAATAACATATATCAGTACAAATGTTCATTGATACACAACAATGATTAATCGATCAATATCAGTCCCAGAACGCATACATCTGTAGGTAATCCAGCCTACGACTGTAACTCTAAACTTCAGTATAAAAAACTCCTTGACATAAGAATGCCAACAGTCACTCACCTCTCACTGCGTCTTGCACGCTAATGACAACCAAACACTATCGACTCCCTATAAGTAATCCACCAGAACTTCCCCTTCCACCTCTGGAAGTTCACTACCCTAATATCCTTAGGTTCTTCCGGGCTTCACTACCAGGATCCTCTGCAGCTCCTCCAGGCTGCTATCATGAAGTTTCCTTGAGCAACTACGGTGCTTCACCCTTCTGCTAGGGTCCTCCACAGCTCTCTTGGCTGCTACACCATGAAGTTTCCCCGAGCAAGTATGGTGCTTCTCCACCTCTACAGAAGCACGTGACACTCCTCTTCACTGCTGCTTCTCCTCACAGCTCGAGGTCCTCTGCTCCACTACCTTTGGAGTCTCATCAATTACTTCATCTGCTGGCTTCGAAGTTCTCAGCAACTTCTTCCCCAAAAGACAAACCTGCAACCCATCGACACTCCAATAAAACGTTCCCCTTTAACACATAAACAAAAATAACCACACAATATGCTTGCCTCAAACCTCTATCTGTTCTCTACATACAGTGAGAGTGGACTCCCCCGTTTTGGGCGGGTCCATACTCCACCTCGCCTGGCGGCGGTCCTCACTCACTGGGAGGGTCTTCCTCCATCCGGAGCCGGGCTCCCTCAGTCGTCCGCCAGCGCTCAGAGGGGGCGGACGTCGCTCCGTGTTCCTCCCTCTTCACTCTCCTATTTCAGGCCTTCTGCCTTATTAAAACATGTCTAACTTATAAATAAACATTGCTACTGTCGCTGGGCACACGACCAACTACAAGTGATCACTATGAACTGGCGTATATCGTGCTTACCACAGATCGGCTGGTCGAGGGCGCTTTCCCTCTGACGGCGTCTGGTCAGGGCGCTCCCACGGCCCACAATAATGTCTCTGGCCGGCTTGATACTCTCTTCTTCGACCAGGACTTGAGACCACAACGTTCCCAGCTCGGTTCCACAGCTGGCACGTCTACACACTTCTCTTCTCTTCGAGATATATCACTAGGGGTTCCCTTCTGATGGGAGCTCAACGGAGCGCGGCTACCCCCTGCGATGTCTGGCACTCAAGTGAGGTCAAGGTCCTCCGGAAGCGAGCCTCACGCCTCCAGCAAAATGTCCACGTCTCCTAGCCAGTCATTTATCTGTTTTCTCCTTCATTGCCCATAATCTCAAACTGTTATACATATCCAAGCAACTATTTTACATATGCGTTATCACCTCAATATTTGCTAGACCTTCTAATCAGGTCAGGCTTGATGAATAACTCTCAAGGAGGGAGACTCGTTTCTCCTGTAGGCTGAGATCATAACAATTGTCCTGCTGAGATGTGTGGGAGTACATTGTCCTGCTGAGATGTGTGGGAGTACATTGTCCTGCTGAGATGTGTGGGAGTACATTGTGTCCTGCTGAGATGTGTGGGAGTGCATTGTCCTGCTGAGATGTGTGGGAGTGCATTGTCCTGCTGAGATGTGTGGGAATGCATTGTCCTGCTGAGACGTGTGGGAGTGTATTGTCCTGCTGAGATGTGTGGGAGTACATTGTCCTGCTGAGATGTGTGGGAGTACATTGTCCTGCTGAGATGTGTGGGAGTGCATTGTCCTGCTGAGACGTGTGGGAGTGTATTGTCCTGCTGAGATGTGTGGGAGTACATTGTCCTGCTGAGATGTGTGGGAGTACATTGTCCTGCTGAGATGTGTGGGAGTACATTGTGTCCTGCTGAGATGTGTGGGAGTGCATTGTGTCCTGCTGAGATGTGTGGGAGTGCATTGTGTCCTGCTGAGATGTGTGGGAGTACATTGTGTCCTGCTGAGATGTGTGGGAGTACATTGTGTCCTGCTGAGATGTGTGGGAGTACATTGTGTCCTGCTGAGATGTGTGGGAGTACATTGTGTCCTGCTGAGATGTGTGGGAGTACATTGTGTCCTGCTGAGATGTGTGGGAGTATATTGTCCTGCTGAGATGTGTGGGAGTACATTGTGTCTTCCTGAGATGTGTGGGAGTGCAGTGTGTCTTCCTGAGATGTGTGGGAGTGCAGTGTGTCTTCCTGAGATGTGTGGGAGTGCAGTGTGTCTTCCTGAGATGTGTGGGAGTGCAGTGTGTCTTCCTGAGATGTGTGGGAGTGCAGTGTGTCTTCCTGAGATGTGTGGGAGTGCAGTGTGTCTTCCTGAGATGTGTGGGAGTGCAGTGTGTCTTCCTGAGATGTGTGGGAGTGCAGTGTGTCCTGCTGAGATGTGTGGGAGTGCAGTGTGTCCTGCTGAGATGTGTGGGAGTATATTGTGTCCTGCTGAGATGTGTGGGAGTGCATTGTGTCTTCCTTAGATGTGTAGGAGGGCATTGTGTCTTGCTGAGATGTGTAGGCGGGCATTGTGTCTTGCAGAGATGTGTGGGAGTGCATTGTGTCTTCCTGAGATGTGTGGGAGGGCATTGTGTCTTGCTGAGATTTGTAGGAGGGCATTGTGTCTTGCAGAGATGTGTGGGAGGGCATTGTGTCCTGCTGAGATGTGTAGGCGGGCATTGTGTCCTGCTGAGATGTGTAGGAGGGCATTGTGTCCTGCTGAGATGTGTAGGCGGGCATTGTGTCCTGCTGAGATGTGTAGGCGGGCATTGTGTCTTGCAGAGATGTGTGGGAGTGCATTGTGTCTTCCTGAGATGTGTGGGAGTGCATTGTGTCTTGATGAGATGTGTGGGAGTGCAGTGTGTCTTGCAGAGATGTGTGGGAGGGCATTGTGTCCTGCTGAGATGTGTAGGCGGGCATTGTGTCCTGCTGAGATGTGTAGGCGGGCATTGTGTCCTGCTGAGATGTGTAGGCGGGCATTGTGTCTTGCAGAGATGTGTGGGAGTGCAGTGTGTCTTCCTGAGATGTGTGGGAGTGCATTGTGTCTTGTTGAGATGTGTGGGAGTGCAGTGTGTCTTGCAGAGATGTGTGGGAGGGCATTGTGTCCTGCTGAGATGTGTAGGCGGGCATTGTGTTCTGCTGAGATGTGTAGGCGGGCATTGTGTCTTGCAGAGATGTGTGGGAGGGCATTGTGTCTTGTTGAGATGTGTGGGAGTGCAGTGTGTCTTCCTGAGATGTGTGGGAGGGCATTGCGTCCTGCTGAGATGTGTAGGAGGGCATTGTGTCCTGCTGAGATGTGTAGGTGGGCATTGTGTCCTGCTGAGATGTGTGGGAGGGCATTGCGTCCTGCTGAGATGTGTAGGAGGGCATTGTGTCCTGCTGAGATGTGTAGGTGGGCATTGTGTCCTGCTGAGATGTGTAGGAGGGCATTGTGTCCTGCTGAGATGTGTAGGCTGGCATTGTGTCCTGCTGAGATGTGTAGGCGGGCATTGTGTCTTGCAGAGATGTGTGGGAGGGCATTGTGTCCTGCTGAGATGTGTAGGAGGGCATTGTGTCCTGCTGAGATGTGTAGGAGGGCATTGTGTCTTGCAGAGATGTGTGGGAGGGCATTGTGTCCTGCTGAGATGTGTAGGCGGGCATTGTGTCCTGCTGAGATGTGTAGGAGGGCATTGTGTCCTGCTGAGATGTGTAGGCGGGCATTGTGTCCTGCTGAGATGTGTAGGCGGGCATTGTGTCTTGCAGAGATGTGTGGGAGTGCATTGTGTCTTCCTGAGATGTGTGGGAGTGCATTGTGTCTTGATGAGATGTGTGGGAGTGCAGTGTGTCTTGCAGAGATGTGTGGGAGGGCATTGTGTCCTGCTGAGATGTGTAGGCGGGCATTGTGTCCTGCTGAGATGTGTAGGCGGGCATTGTGTCCTGCTGAGATGTGTAGGCGGGCATTGTGTCTTGCAGAGATGTGTGGGAGTGCAGTGTGTCTTCCTGAGATGTGTGGGAGTGCATTGTGTCTTGTTGAGATGTGTGGGAGTGCAGTGTGTCTTGCAGAGATGTGTGGGAGGGCATTGTGTCCTGCTGAGATGTGTAGGCGGGCATTGTGTTCTGCTGAGATGTGTAGGCGGGCATTGTGTCTTGCAGAGATGTGTGGGAGGGCATTGTGTCTTGTTGAGATGTGTGGGAGTGCAGTGTGTCTTCCTGAGATGTGTGGGAGGGCATTGCGTCCTGCTGAGATGTGTAGGAGGGCATTGTGTCCTGCTGAGATGTGTAGGTGGGCATTGTGTCCTGCTGAGATGTGTGGGAGGGCATTGCGTCCTGCTGAGATGTGTAGGAGGGCATTGTGTCCTGCTGAGATGTGTAGGTGGGCATTGTGTCCTGCTGAGATGTGTAGGAGGGCATTGTGTCCTGCTGAGATGTGTAGGCGGGCATTGTGTCCTGCTGAGATGTGTAGGCGGGCATTGTGTCTTGCAGAGATGTGTGGGAGGGCATTGTGTCCTGCTGAGATGTGTAGGAGGGCATTGTGTCCTGCTGAGATGTGTAGGAGGGCATTGTGTCCTGCTGAGATGTGTAGGCGGGCATTGTGTCCTGCTGAGATGTGTAGGAGGGCATTGTGTCCTGCTGAGATGTGTAGGCGGGCATTGTGTCCTGCTGAGATGTGTAGGCGGGCATTGTGTCTTGCTGAGATGTGTAGGAGGGCATTGTGTCCTGCTGAGATGTGTAGGCGGGCATTGTGTCCTGCTGAGATGTGTAGGCGGGCATTGTGTCCTGCTGAGATGTGTAGGCGGGCATTGTGTCCTGCTGAGATGTGTAGGCGGGTATTGTGTCTTGCAGAGATGTGTAGGAGGGCATTGTGTCTTGCTGAGATGTGTAGGTGGGCATTGTGTCTTGCAGAGATGTGTGGGAGGGCATTGTGTCCTGCTGAGATGTGTAGGCGGGCATTGTGTCTTGCAGAGATGTGTGGGAGGGCATTGTGTCCTGCTGAGATGTGTAGGAGGGCATTGTGTCCTGCTGAGATGTGTAGGAGGGCATTGTGTCCTGCTGAGATGTGTAGGAGGGCATTGTGTCCTGCTGAGATGTGTAGGCGGGCATTGTGTCCTGCTGAGATGTGTAGGAGGGCATTGTGTCCTGCTGAGATGTGTAGGCGGGCATTGTGTCTTGCTGAGATGTGTAGGAGGGCATTGTGTCCTGCTGAGATGTGTAGGCGGGCATTGTGTCCTGCTGAGATGTGTAGGCGGGCATTGTGTCCTGCTGAGATGTGTAGGCGGGCATTGTGTCCTGCTGAGATGTGTAGGCGGGCATTGTGTCTTGCAGAGATGTGTAGGAGGGCATTGTGTCTTGCTGAGATGTGTAGGAGGGCATTGTGTCTTGCAGAGATGTGTAGGCGGGCATTGTGTCTTGCTGAGATGTGTAGGAGGGCATTGTGTCTTGCAGAGATGTGTGGGAGGGCATTGTGTCTTGCTGAGATGTGTAGGAGGGCATTGTGTCTTGCTGAGATGTGTAGGCGGGCATTGTGTCCTGCTGAGATGTGTAGGCGGGCATTGTGTCTTGCTGAGATGTGTAGGCGGGCATTGTGTCCTGCTGAGATGTGTAGGCGGGCATTGTGTCTTGCAGAGATGTGTAGGAGGGCATTGTGTCTTGCTGAGATGTGTAGGAGGGCATTGTGTCTTGCTGAGATGTGTAGGCGGGCATTGTGTCTTGCAGAGATGTGTGGGAGGGCATTGTGTCCTGCTGAGGTGTGTGGGAGGGCATTGTGTCTTGCAAAGATGTGTGGGAGGGTATTGTGTCTTGCAGAGATGTGTGGGAGGGCACTGTGTCCTGCTGAGATGAGTGGGAGGCCTTGTGTCTTGCAGAGATGTGTGGGAGGGCATTGTGTCTTGCAGAGATGTGTAGGAGGGCATTGTGTCCTGCAGAGATGTGTGGGAGGGCATTGTGTCCTGCTGAGATGTGTGGGAGGGCATTGTGTCTTGCAGAGATGTGTAGGAGGGCATTGTGTCCTGCTGAGATGTGTGGGAGGGCATTGTGTCTTGCAGAGATGTGTGGGAGGGCATTGTGTCTTGCAGAGATGTGTGGGAGGGCATTGTGTCTTGCTGAGATGTGTGGGAGGGCATTGTGTCCTGCTGAGATGTGTGGGAGGGCATTGTGACTTGCAGAGATGTGTGGGAGGGCATTGTGTCCTGCTGAGATGTGTAGGCGGGCATTGTGTCCTGCTGAGATGTGTATGAGGGCATTGTGTCCTGCTGAGATGTGTAGGCGGGCATTGTGTCCTGCTGAGATGTGTAGGAGGGCATTGTGTCCTGCTGAGATGTGTAGGAGGGCATTGTGTCCTGCTGAGATGTGTAGGCGGGCATTTTGTAGTATTGTGTAATACTGGGTATTAGGACTACCAACACTCTTTTCATACTTTGCCCACTACTTTCTTGATACCAACACTACGACCACTCTCCTCACACACTGCCTACCAACAGTGTTATACCACACTGTTATACCACACAGTGTGGTATAACAGTGTTATACCACACTGTGTTATACCAACAGTGCCACAACTGTACTCACTCACTGCCTTCTGCTGTGTTATACCAACAGTGCCACAACTGTACTCACACACTTATCACTGCTGTGCTGTACCAACTCCACTACCACTGTCCTCACTCAAAACCCACTGCGGTGTTGTACCAACACTACCATAACTTTCCTCGCACCCTGCCTACTGCTGTGTTTGTACTAGCACCACCACTCCTCACTTAAAATGAGTGCCTCTGTTATTGTTAATATGTTACTGTGTTGCTAGTGCCACAGACTACCACATCTTCCTCTTACTCCTGTTGCTAGTGCCACAGACTACCACATCTTCCTCTTACTCCTGTTGCTAGTGCCACAGACTACCACATCCTCCTCTTACTCCTGTTGCTAGTGCCACAGACTACCACATCTTCCTCTTACTCCTGTTGCTAGTGCCACAGACTACCACATCTTCCTCTTACTCCTGTTGCTAGTGCCACAGACTACCACATCTTCCTCTTACTCCTGTTGCTAGTGCCACAGACTACCACATCTTCCTCTTACTCCTGTTGCTAGTGCCACAGACTACCACATCTTCCTCTTACTCCTGTTGCTAGTGCCACAGACTACCACATCTTCCTCTTACTCCTGTTGCTAGTGCCACAGACTACCACATCTTCCTCTTACTCCTGTTGCTAGTGCCACAGACTACCACATCTTCCTCTTACTCCTGTTGCTAGTGCCACAGACTACCACAGCTTCCTCTTACTCCTGTTGCTAGTGCCACAGACTACCACATCTTCATCTTACTCCTGTTGCTAGTGCCACAGACTACCACAGCTTCCTCTTACTCCTGTTGTTAGTGCCACAGACTACCACATCTTCATCTTACTCCTGTTGCTAGTGCCACAGACTACCACATCTTCATCTTACTCCTGTTGCTAGTGCCACAGACTACCACAGCTTCCTCTTATTCTTGTTGCTGCGTTGGTTGAATGATGTATACATTGTGCAGGTGGTCTTCGGCACTATAATTCTGAGCTTGAATTTCTGCAGATAGTGACTTAACTCTGTGTCTTTTACTTGCAGGTGTTGTTGGTGTTGTAGCTGGTGTTGCTCCAGGTGTTGCTCCAGGTGTTGCAGCAGGTGAGAACAGATGTGGAGACTGGATAATTGAAAGAGTCGGGCAGCGATTGTAGTGAGAAGCGACCGGTATAGTTGTAAGATCTGGTTGCTGTTAATTATAGTAAACTGGCTCCAGTAATGCTGACAATTGGACTCTGGTAATTTTAGGTCCTTGATATACATAATCCCAAGAAACGGACTATGATAACAAAAACGGGAAGCTTGGAGCAGTAACTAGTAAACTTTTGTAGTGGTCAGAACTCCGGACTCCTCGGGGTCCATGACGTTGATGTGGTTCTCAGAGACAAGTCCCGTGAGATGGACCTCTTCAGTGTGGCTCAGTCATGACTGGAGTTTCCTAAATAAGGGCGATACTAAGCAATGAGATCCTTGATTATACCTGAATGGGGTTGTGGGAGTTCTTCTACTCCCCCAAGCCTGGCCCGGGGCCAGGCTTGTGAGATCTTGGTCTCCCACAAGTGACACGTTAGCCTAAATGTGATCAACGAACACCGTAAACGGTTCATGAAAATAGTATAGTAATTCTCTCGGTTACTTATGATGATAAATACATCGACACTCTCATTGTTAAATTCTGGGGTCAAATGCCAGACACTCAAATTGTTAACCTCTAATGCTAAATACACAGACACACACTATTGTTAACTTCTAATATTAAATAACACGGACACAATCATAAATAATCACCAGTGTTAATATTATATACAAAAACGCTTATAAGAAAAGGCTAATGAAAACAGAAAGAATTAGAATAAGGAAGGAAATATAACTTAATTTTAACACTACATTAACTCAATATTAATGGACAGTGCCTTGGTGCGGTGAGGGGCCTATTGTGTCCCACAGCGATTGATAGGGGGAAGGAGGGATGGCTCCTGCTTCCCCCCTCCTGTCAGCACAAGCAAAATACATCCCTGTGTGCTGGTCGTGTTTGGAGACCTTTGTTCGTCCTTTTGTTCCTTCCATCTGGATCTCTGGGGCGGCAACACGCTTCTTTGTAGAGGAGACGGGAGTAAAATGGAAGGTCTGGTAAGCCCTGCCTAGTTAGGCACTGGGTCACGTGGGCATGGTAGGGTTTTACCTCCTGTTGGTCCCTGGGATACCGCTGGGACCCTGTAGTAGTGGCCTGCATATACTGGTTACCCCTGAGGTCACTTGAGCCTCCCATGTGGGCTCTGTTGTGGGTTGCAGCGCTGATAGCGAAATATTTATCTGTTACTTTTTTATGTTACCTTCTGACCTTATTTCTCCTCAGACTCGTGGGTCAGTTGACGAGGCCCCCCGAGTCGTACTGTGATGTAAGATGGGCTCCATAGCCATGGGTATGTTAAGTGTAAACCAGGCTTCATCTCTGACACCCCGGAATGACTCTCCATTCCCCCCTCTCTTTTCCGAGACCGATTTGAGCCCCAATTCCTTGACTACCACGTGCCCTGGAGTGGCTGTGCCGTTTATCTCCCCTCCTTCATGGGGGTTCCCCGCACCGTCACCACGCTCTTGCAAGCGCTTGCTTTCTGCTATCCTTTGTTCCGGGAATTGTTTAGCCCCACAACATGGCCTAAGTGTTATGATCTTTGTCACAATGAACATACACGCCCTGATGATGTGAACATTCATAAGATCTTGGTTGACTGTAGATTCCCAGGTTACTTCTAACTCCCTCTCTGACTATCATGTGTGTAGTTGCGACCCTTTCTGAGGCAGAATGAATTCCTTCATTCAAAAACCGTTTCCAAACCTTCGCACCAACACCTCTACTTGCTCCCCATCTTCAGCTCTTCTCGTCTGCGTTCTCTTTCTACGTTGGATCTCTTTCTGGCTTTCCTCAAAGGGACATGTTTCAGACAGACTTGATACGCTTCTAAAGTCAGTTTTTCTGTTCCTTCTGAAGGACATGTATTACTTAGAACAGTTTCCCATAGAATGTTTGTAAGTTCCCTGTTTATTATCTCCCAGTTTATCCTTTTATTATTAAAATTGAATTTACTGAATAATCCCTCTCGCTTTATCAACGTTTTAGGTTTATTCTGAGTAATAATGGTCGTTTGCACTTCCATCATTAATATATACTGAGATTGTGATCTGAGTATATGGTATATCGTAATGTCCCTGATTGTCTTCATTGTTCGTAAAAACCAGATCTAGAATATTTTCATTTCTCGTTGGCTCCGATATCGAATATGTGAGGCTATCTTCTGGAACCTTTATTCCATTCTTCTTCATTGTCTCTTCTGAATTCAACTCTGAAGGCAACTCATGTTGTCTCGCACAAACACACCTTTTCGTGTATTGATCTTTCCCTCTGCTCGTCCTTCCTTTATAGAGCCCTGTCATGGATGGTCCTCCATGATCTCCATAACAGTGACTATTTTCCCCATCCTAACAACCCTCTTTTCTTTCTGCCCTCCTGTCTTGTACCCTCAGTGATGGGTTGATAAGGTGGACCCCAACCTTTTCATCCTTCATGCTTCTCTTTCAAACTTATCCGATCGAACCCTTGTTTTTTAGACGCCTTATTGGACACTGTCCTTCTTTATATACCTAGCAGTGTTTCCAGTGATGTGCAGCAGTGCGTTTTCTGGTGGAATTTGGACTGTGCTTTGGCTGTATGCTGTAAGTGCAACTCATGTTGTCTCGCGTTGTCACCTTGAAAAGACATAGACTCCTTATTCTTTTATTTTGTTTTGGAAGGTGAGTGTGGTGGCCCATAGGGACATTCATACAACTAGACGGGAGAATTGGAGATCCAATGTCTCAACTATTGCAGTTGACTTCCCTCTCCTTCAGATCTGGAAGGTAATCTGTATTATTGCTGGTAAATGTTTTCCAGATATATTCTATTTCCTTCGTCTCATTCGTTCGGTCGTGGCAGATTCGGTGTAGGTAGCAAACGAACTGGGTTCTCACTTTCCGGCCATTAACTACGGTACTAAAACCTTCCTTTTATTTTCCATATTCGTAAGTAAGTAATTATCAAAGAGGGCACCAAGCCGTTAAGGCGTTGAAGCACCATCAAATGTGCGGGATAATCAGAGGGCGCTAAATATCATTGAGGATGCCAATATGAGAACAGAAACGCATAAGGCAAACAATATCAAAAGCATCCGATTCACCAAGAATTCTATTGAGGGACAAGTGACCACGGGGGAGGGTCGAAAAGCAAGACACACGATCGTCCTGGAAGTCAGGACATTCATCAAGGATATGAACAACTGTAGGAGGGACAATGCAGTTAGGACAATAAGGAGCAGAACGGCGCTCCATTAAGTGTCCGTGAGTTAAGCGCGTATGGCCAATACACAACCTTACCAGAGCCGTTTCCAACGCCGGTTACGGTGGTAGGAAGGCCACAGGGACACACTACTCTTAAGAGTACGCATGTTGTTACCAGTAACTGAAGACCAACAATCCTGCCAACGGGCAAGGATGGAGGAATAAATAACTGGGAACCCAGCAAAACTCAACTGTCTTAAATTTATTAGAGATAAGAATCAGCTAATGATGAATCTCGACTACCACCGGATGGACTGGATTAAAGGACTCCAGAGCCATGAGGGCGCTGCGAGAGTCAACTACAACCACAGAGGAGGATTGACAGTGAGAAAGCAGGAGATGAAGAGCAGAGAGAATAGCATAAAGTTCTGTCGTGAAGATGCTAGTCGCCGGAGGCAGGCGACACATATAGGTGTGATCAGGAAAAACAACAGAGTAGTCTACACTGCCTGCAGACTTAGACCCATCGGTGAAGGTGGAAACGGAGCGGGAATGTGAAGAAATGTGTTCAAGGAAATGGCGTTTCAGAACTGTAGGAGGGGTAAAAGCTTTAGTGATGAGGGTCGGGGATTTGCAATATCAAGAATGGGGGACCCTCCACGGGGGTAAGAATGGAACAACACGAGGAGAAATATTAGTAATACAAACCGAAAGAGAATGTTGCAGGCGAGACAGCTGGACAGAAAGCGGGAGGTGGTAAAGGGGAACAGGAACTACAGTAGGGGGGAAAAAAGTCAAAGCACGACACAGGTGAGAGTGAGGGTGTTGTAAGGACTGTGCAAGGTAGCAAAGACCGTAGCGATCTCGACGGTCCTGGAGAGACAGGAAGCCAGTGTCAACGTACAAGCTGAGGGTAGGAGTTGAATGAAAGGCACCAGAGCTGAGGCGCAACCCAGTATGGTGCAAAAGATCAAGACGGCAAAGAGTAGAAGGAGAAGCAGAAGAGTATGCAGGGGCAACCTTAATCGAGTTTAGACGTATGAGAGAGAAATCCAAAGAGAGAAGTGTGCGCCTATACGCTCCCCAAGAAGTATGGGACAAAACCTAAAGTAGGATATGGGCATCAACTCGGAGGTAAGAGATATGGGGCAACCAACACAAATGAGTGTCAAAGATTACCCCAAAAGCTTCGTGGAATCTTTGTATACAAGGGAGGAAGGGTATACTTCTGAGTAAAAGTCATAGCACAAGTCTTAGTTGCAGAGAACTTAAAACCATGATTGGTGGCTTAAGATCAAATGGCATTAATCGCAAGTTGAAGCCACCGTTGAAGGAGAGGCGAATCATCAATTCGACAGCAAAGAGTAAGATCATCAACATAAAGAGCGGAGAAGGTGCCAGAAGGAAGGGAGGAAAGAAGGCCATTGAGGGCAACCAGAAAAAGAGTAGTGCTCAGAACACTACCTTGGTGTACACCTTCGTATTGCCAAAAAGAGGCAGAGAGAGTGGCACCAAGTCTGACCCTAAAGGAACGATGAGAGAGGAAGCTTTGGAGGAAGAGAGGGAGATTACTACGAGGGCCAAAAGAACGAAGTTGGGACAGAATATGGTATCTCCAAGTAGTGTCATAAGCCTTTTCCAGTTAAAAAACGACAGCAACAACGGAGGTCTTCGCAGCAAAAGCAGTACGAATATAGACCTCCAAGATCACCAGGACATCAGTGGTGCTGCGGCACTTGCGAAAACCAAATTCAGAAGGAGAGAGGTAGTGATCACCGGTGTTCCAAGAACCACATCAGACGAATATTTACTATACGCTCAAAGAGTTTGCAGACACAACTCGTGAGAGCAATAGGACGGAAGTCCTAAGGGGATGTACCGAGAGACCCCGATTACCGAATAGGGAGTACAATGGCATCGAGCCAGTCCTCACGAACTAATGACTCCTAGACCTGGTTATGCAGACTCAGTAAATACTGAGACGTGCAAGGAGGGATATGGCGAAGCATCTCATAATGAATGTCATCCAAGCCCGCTGCCGTAGATCCGCAGAGGGCCAGGGCAGACTGAAGTTCAGAAAGAGAGTAGGGATCGTTAGAGGGAAGGTGGAGATGAGTTTGGAAATCTAAGGGATGAAATTCAAGAACAGGCTTACAAAGAAGGAAGGATTGAAGAAGATGAGAACCAGAACTAACAGTAGAAAAGTGGGAACCCAGTTTGGTCGCGACCTTGGAGTCATCACACTCCGGCAGTCGCCCACCAAGGCTCCTCACGACGACAACGAGCCCGATAGGGAGGGGGTCCTTATTTATAAGTCACTTCTCTAATCTCATATCTTGATCTTTTGCACTGATTTCCAGTTCCGGCGGCGGCGGCGGCTGGCGGCTGAGGAAGAAGCCAGGGAAGCCGGCGGCTGAGCGGACAGAACACTGGACGCGTGTTCCTGTGGTCCCGGGTTCGATCCCGGCTGGCGAGAAACAATGGGCAGAGTTTCTTTCACCCTGGTGCCCCTGTTACCTAGCAGTAAATAGGTACCTGGGAGTTAGTGAGCTGTCACGGGCTGCTTCCTGGGGGTGGAGGCCTGGTCGAGGACCGGGCCACGGGGACACTAAAGCCCCTAAATCATCTCAAGATAACCTCAAGATCTCAAGATAACCTCCCCTCTAACGATCTCTTCTATCGGATCTCCAGTCTGCCTTTTTCCTCTGTGCATCTACATTGGCGGGGCATGACGGCATTCAATATGAGATCCTTCACCATCTCCCTCAAGGGTACTATCAGTATTTGCTGTATACTTATAATTATATTGGGAGACGTTGTCAGTCGCCGAAGAGTGGCTTGAAGCAGTTGTTCTTCCTATTCAGAAAACCAGTACTCAAGAGACCTCCCCAAAGTATTTTCGTCTCATTGCCCTGACGAGTTGCGTCTACAAGCTTTCCTTGTAGTTAAAGTCAATGTCAGTCTTATGGCTTTCTTAGAACACTATCGATAATGGTCCCCCTCTCAACTTCCGGCTTTCGTAAGTGTCGCAGCGCGATTGATGTTTTAGTGGCTCTAGATGACCTTCATTCATTTATTCAAAGAACGAGTGAAAGTCATCATTCGTTCTGGGTGTACCGATCAGACTTCTCTAGTTGCCGTTTTTCTTTCACTTGGAAAAGGCTTATGACACCACCTGGAGGTACAATATTTTCTCGCAGCTTTATTCTTTTGGCCTTCATGACATTCTTGTGGCCTTCAAGACATTCTTCTGCTCTTCCTTCACAGTTTCCTCTTTCGTCATTCCTTTAAAGTAAGACCACCTTCTCTGCCTCCTTTCATCACTTCAAAACTGTTTCCCAGGATGACGATGTTCGTTCTTCGGACACGATGACGATCATCACTTCAATATATTTGGTTGGAGGCTGAGTCAGATGATGTTGTTGGGTGCTACTGTAAGGGTCGAGGTTGCTCTAGCTTTGCTCGCAGCCTGTTTCCTTTAGGCCTCTGCATTCCTTGTAATTTCACCCAAATGGGTGAAGGGGTGACTTTGCTTTTCCAAGTTGGCGTGTCCTGAGCTAGCTACTCCCAGATCTTTGTGGGTCACCTTGAAGCAGTCCTTAAATCGTTTCTTCTGCCCCCAACAGAACTTATGCCCTGGCCTAATTCTCCATACAGCAGCTGTTAAGGCAATCGGCTCTCAGGCATTCTAACAATATGGCCTGCCCATCTGGCCTGAGTTTTCAGTAGGAGGATGTAGATGCTGGGACTACCAGCCCTTTCCATGACCTCTGTGTCTGGGGTTTTGGCCTGCCACCTGATGTGGAGAAGTCTACGGAGACAGCTCATGTAAAAGTGATTTAGTTGTTTTGCATGTCTTCTGTGGCCAGTCCAGGTCTCACTGGCATAGAGAAGGGTGATGAGTACCACTGCATGTTGACCTTCAGTTTGGTGATAACTCTGAGGCCCTTCCGTTCCCAGACATTCTTACGGAATTTTCTAAAGGCAGATCTGGCCTTGGGGATCCTGTTGTTGACCTCTGCATCTATGTTCACCACTCTTGAGAGTATGGTGTCAGGATAGGTGAAGTCGTCAACTGCCTGCAGGTTCTGCCCTAGGACAGTGATGTACTGTTCCTGGTAGGGTATTTCGGTCGTCCAGACAATCACAGAAGGCATCTGTGAGCATGGCAGAAAATACAATGCTGAAGAGTGTTGACGTGAGAACAAAGCCCTGCCTCACACCTTTCGTCACTGAGATGGCTATTGATGTTACTCCATAGTCCAGTTCTTTTGCCATCATGCCATCATGTAACTGCCAGACAATCATAGTGAATTTGCCAGGTCAACCAAACTTCTCCACTATCTTCCACAAGCCATCTCTTCTGACAGTATTAAAGGCCTTGGTCAGGTTGACGAAGGTCATGAAGAAGCCATTACGTTGCTCATGGTATTTTTCTTGGACCTGGCATGCAGTAAATATCACATCGACAGTTCCGTGTTCGACATTGGAAGCTGGATTCTCTTTCTGGGAGGAGACCCTGCTCAATGCGTTGCAGGAGACGGTTGAGCAGGATACGAGCCATGATCTTCCTTGTGATAGACAGGAGTGAAATACCCTGGTGATTATCGCAAGACAGCGAGTCGCCTTTTCTCTTGTTGATGTGAACTATGCTGGCATCTTTTAACTGTTTTGGGACTATCCCTTCATTCTACATGGACTGGATGAGCTTTGTCAGTTTTTGCATCATGGTCGCCTCCTGTTTTGTACACTTCAGCTTGGATTACATCTGATCCTGGCGCTTTGCTACAGGAAAGCTGCTTGGTGGCCTTCCAGACTTCTGCTGTGGGAGGATTAACAAAGTTCTGGTTGATCTCCACTTGAGGTAGGGGAGCAATGGCCTCATCGTTGATTGAGGCACAGGTGGTTAAGGACCTGATTAAAGTGTTCAACCCATCTGTCCAAGATCTACTTGTTCTCTGACAGTAGTTGATAACCATCTGCACCAAGGAGGGAAGCAAAGCCAGAGGGTTGTGGTCCATATATAACCTTGAGAGCGTCATAAAGACGCTTGGTGTCGTGACGCTTTGCAAACCTTGAATTTAATCGGCCTACTTGCTAAACCATGCATCCTGCATCTCACGGACAGCCTTTGCACCATTCTTCGGGCACTGGCAAAAGTATCTTTGCCAGTGCAAAGCAAAAGCAGAAGCATCGTGAGCAAGGAACAGGTCATTTTTTTACAGCAATACCTGTATCTCCTCTTCGTTTTCGTCGAACTATTTCTGGTTTCTACGGGTTGCTGGTCCGAGATGCTCAAGGTCAGTTGAAGCGACTGCATGTCTGAAGGCTGCCCACCTCTTCTCAATGCTGTCCTGTCCTGTCGTTGAAGAATCTCTCAGCAACTTTGCTGCTCTTCAGCTTAGAGACATTGGGTCTCTTTACAGTCTTCTGACCTTGGGTCTTCTCGTGGGCAGGATGGAAAGTTTGCACTTGGACACAATGAGGGGATGGTCAGTCCAGCAGTCGGCACCACACATGGGAATAGTCACTTACGTGCTGCTTATCTTTCTTCCTTGTGATGCAATAATCAATAAATTGCTAATGCCTAGAGTGTGGATGAATCAATGAGGTCTTGTTGTGGGTGGGAAGGAGAAACAGTGTTGGTGAGGATGAGGTAGCACGTACCACACAACATGAGGAGCAGAAGGCCATTGCTGTTGAACTTGCCAGTGTCATATCTTTCAATGATCCTTTTCCACAACTCATAGTCTGTCCCTACTTTGGCATTCTAGCGTTGAAGTCCCCGAGGATAATAAGCATCTCTGATTTTGGGACTACTGCAATGAGGTCGAGTTCCTCATTGAATTTTCCCTTGATGTCATCTGGGTTGGTCATGGGTGAGTCATATTCACTGATCAGCGTTGCACTCCTCTTGCTTCCAAGCCGGAGCTGGAGCATCACTAGGCGGTCGTTGATGCCCTTTGGGAGCTTGGCAAATTTTTGAGTGAGATGGGACATAATAGCGAATCTAATGCTGGCGGCATCTAACGGCATAGAGAAATTAAAATTAGTAGTTACTGTGCAAGTGAGGAGAAAGAAAAAAGTTAAAGGCAGACAGAAAAGTTCGGACGTTTCAGGTACCGAGATTGAGCACCCTCACTGTTTTCTTTGTATTTGTTTGACTGCTGTGGGGGATCTCCATCAGCCGCGGCTTGCTAGCCAGGGTGAATTAAAGCATGCTATGTTTAAGGCACTTTTTCTAGCCCTTTCCTCCATGGAGGTGAGCAGAGCATGTCATCAAGAGGGCTGCTCAGACACCCAGTGGGAGGGGGGGGGGGGTTGCTGAACTCTGCTGTTGCTTCGGTCCTGTAGAGAGTGACCTTATGCTCTGAACCGCCTGTGTGCAGGTCTGTGACTACAGCTTCCAGTGTATCTACACCTGCTGCTTCGCCACTCGCCCATCACCACTTGAGATTGCGCAGTATGGATTGAAATCATGATTTGCATTTGATTTGGGGTAAAGTGAGGGAGAATTGCGCAAATCGTCAGCCTCAGTCTCGCGTCCTGGCCTATCTGGATCTAGCGGAAAGATAAATCGAGATGGCAGGAGAAAGGTTAGGATTCAGTGGATGGCCAACAGTGTTCTGCACGCCTCACTACGCCCTAGTTGCGCTCTACAACGCTTTGCTGGTCCGCTTTCCTGCCCAGTGAACCATTCTGGTGGTTCCTCCACGCATTCCGACGTGTCCAGTCTTCGCATGTGTAGGTAGACAAGCCTGAGTTCACTGAGGGTCTCAAATCTTCGGCTACCCTCACCTGATTTTGCTCGCCAGTTGAAGCACTTTACCAGCGTGTTGCCGCTGTTGCATACAAACAGCTACTAGGAGCCACAGGTGAGAGTTGAGTGCAGGTGGGGATACACAGGTGCGACTGTTCCTTACCAGAGGTACAACCCCTCACCGACAACCCAGGGTAATGTTCTGAGCACTACTCTTTTTCTCATTGCCCTTAAAAGTCTTACGTCTTTCCCTCTGGCATTTTCTCGGTCGTTCATGTTGATTTCACTCTCTGAGGGGATGATTCCCATTTCTCCAACATCGGCTCAAAATTCCGACTGATGCTGTGTCGTCCTGGGACACGAATCTTGGCTTCAAGTTCTATATGTCTAAGACTTGAGCTAGGACTTTTACTCGGAAGCAGGTCGTTCGTCTTCTCTTTTTTGCGCTCTATAGTAATCCGCTTCTGTGAAACTTTTCGGATCGATCTTTGATACGTTTGTCTTGATCGCCCCATATCTCTTACCTCGAGTCAAATGTTGTCAAGTCCTTACATTACATTGAGCCTTGTCCCCCATTACTTCCAGGGATGGTAATAGACGCACACTCCTCTACATGCACTCCTCTCTCGTGCTGTCTAAATCGGATTATGGCTGCTCTGTCTAGACTTCTGCTTCTCCTTTAATCTTTCATCGTCTTGATGCTCAGCTCCATGCTGGTTATTGCTCAGGTCTAGTGCCTTTCGTTCATCCCCTTCCCAGAGCTTATATGTAGAAACCGGCATCTCGTCACTGCAGGGTCGTTACTACCTTCACTGCCTCACATGATCACTGTAATATCCTCATTCTTTATTTTTTGCTGAGCTTTTTGGCGGTTTCCCTTCCGATAGGCCCTGCTGCCTTTCACGAATTTCCTTTTTTATAAGGAAGTATTGCAGGCCTCCCTCGTGGTCCCTTGTCCCCCTCAATGTAATCCTTGGCCACCCCGATACCTTTGATACTGATCGCCTTATGTGTTTTTGTTCTCGTATTGGCGTTCATAGTTATATTTAGAATCATAAATATATCCTCTGACACCGACGGTGCAACATAGTCTTTCCAGCTTGGTGTCTTCTTTTCTTCAGAACTTAATATTGTTTTAATGAACTCCTTTCATGAGTAGAACAGGAATTAATCTTTATAACCAAAATGCAATATCTTTCATAGTGATGATCACAGCATCCTTTAATGATAAGGTGAACACCATCATCAGTGTGAGATGAACACCATCATCAGTGTGATGTGTGGGCGTGATGAACACCATCATCAGTGTGATGTGTGGGGGTGATGAACACCATCATCAGTGTGATGTGTGGGGTGATGAACACCATCATCAGTGTGATGTGTGGGGTGATGAACACCATCATCAGTGTGATGTGTGGGGTGATGAACACCATCATCATGTGTGGGGTGTGAACACCATCATCAGTGTGTTAAGTGATGAACTCCAGCATCAGTGTGATGGGGTGATGAACACCATCATCAGTGTGATGTGTGGGGTGATGAACACCAATGTGTGGGGTGATGAACACCATCATCAGTGTGATGTGTGGGGTGATGAACACCATCATCAGTGTGATGTGTGGGGTGATGAACACCATCATCAGTGTGATGTGTGGGGTGATGAACACCATCATCAGTGTGATGTGTGGGGTGATGAACACCATCATCAGTGTGATGTGTGGGGGTGATGAACACCATCATCAGTGTGATGTGTGGGGTGATGAACACCATCATCAGTGTGATGTGTGGGGGTGATGAACACCATCATCAGTGTGATGTGTGGGGTGATGAACACCATCATCAGTGTGATGTGTGGGGTGATCATCATCAGTGTGATGTGTGGGGTGATGAACACCATCATCAGTGTGATGTGGGGTGATGGTGATGAGTGTGATGTGTGGGGTGATGAACACCATCATCAGTGTGATGTGTGGGGGTGATGAACACCATCATCAGTGTGATGTGTGGGGTGATGAACACCATCATCAGTGTGATGTGTGGGGTGATGAACACCATCATCAGTGTGATGTGTGGGGTGATGAACACCATCATCAGTGTGATGTGTGGGGTGATGAACACCATCATCAGTGTGATGTGTGGGGTGATGAACACCATCATCATGTGTGGGGGTGTGAACACCATCATCAGTGTGATGTGTGGGGTGATGTGTGGGGTGATGAACACCATCATCAGTGTGATGTGTGGGGTGATGAACACCATCATCAGTGTGATGTGTGTGATGTGTGGGGTGATGAACACCATCATCAGTGTGATGTGTGGGGTGATGAACACCATCATCAGTGTGATGTGTGGGGTGATGAACACCATCATCAGTGTGATGTGTGGGGTGATGAACACCATCATCAGTGTGATGTGTGGGGTGATGAACACCATCATCAGTGTGATGTGTGGGGGTGATGAACACCATCATCAGTGTGATGTGTGGGGTGATGAACACCATCATCAGTGTGATGTGTGGGGGTGATGAACACCATCATCAGTGTGATGT